GGTTATTTATTTTACCCCGTCGTAAAGTCGGCCCATTGTTCCTTTTGTGTCGATTAAAATTCTAATGGACTCATCATTTTCCGTTCCTCAAAGTGTTCTCATATCCTTTAAGAAGTAATTTTAGAAGAAGTAAACTGCATGGATTAATACGTGTCCAATAAGTAATCAGTAAACAAAATTATTAATACTTTGAAGAATACATATTTTTTTTTTTTTTTTTTTAATATGTGTTTACCAGTCCCAATAATTTTAAATTCTCAGTATCTTGGGCTACAAAGCGTTAACAGTTGTGGACGCATAGCGATCAGAGCATGAGGTCGAACGAGGTAGCTGACATTATTCGACCGAGCATAAAGCACATAAACGAGCTGATCGCGCAGCCAACCTGCACGGACGACGTTGTTTCGCTCGCGAACGAGGGTGACCGGGGCTTTATAGATTTCGCGTAAAGCAAGGTTACATCGTACACGCAGGTAAATTAGGCGTTTAATCAAACCGTTTAATCAGCGGCATGATTGCGACCGCATCTGCTCCGGCTGTTCGCGCCAATTATCTCCCTCGGACTTGCCATCGCGTACTCGCCTCCGAACTCCAAGAGATTTCGTCCTCCATATCATCTGCGAGTTCTCGATGATGCTATCGCAACGTTGACAATGACAAACGCTGCTTGGTACCTTGAAAAACTGCAATTTTAATTTGGACTGCAACATCTAGCGACAGAACGATCGATTTGAATGGCCCAACAAACCATAACGTCTAAACAGAATCAATGGACGCCATCGTTATCGGTATTGCTTTTCACCCATTGTAATTCTGTTGGTCCTCCGCGTTCTTTACAACGTATCAATTGTCGCGTTCGAGGCACGTTTCGTCATCGACAGCGACATTTATGGAAAAGAAAATTCATCCACGGGCCGGTAGGCTCGTAAAACGCTCTCGAATGCGCGCTAGGCCGTTCCACAAATTCCGCCAACCGATTGGTTCGTAGCTCCATGAGAACTCGCGCAAATGAAAAGCTCCGACGATGTACTATCAACTGTTGTACCCAATCTCCCCGCTGTTGAAAATTGCGTACTTTTCTGCGATACGAACAGCTGCTTCGTAATTCAAGGCAATTAGGTGTAATTGTAAACTGTAAACAAGGATCAGAGACTGTTTCGTTTCGGGAAGGTTCGTCAATAAACACAAACAAGTCCTTACAGTTTTAAAAAGGCACTAAAACTTACCTGCAGCGCAAATTATGTATTTTTCCAGATTGGGGAATGGAATGGTACTCGAGGGGTTGATTCGAGGATTGCAAAGCCGAAAGCTCGCGCAAAACAGATTTCCAGCGACGTAAAAATTGATGATGCCCGTAAAAGCGCAACCCTCTCGCCCTTAACCCTTTCGATATTTTTTCCAATCAGTAATCCGCTTACGAGAGAACCGTGGAACGCTCGCTGCCCCTGAACCCTTTCTTTTACGATACCGAAAGAATACTAAATATTTTCTACATTTTTTCGCGTATACAGCAACGTTTGTTTTCGCCGTTCCGCGCAAAAGAACGTCTCGAGATGATGGGACCGCTCGTTAACCCTTTAGGGACAGGTGTCGACAGGTCGTTTCCTCGAGGGGTGATCCTTCTTTGGCGACTCTTTTAGGCTAAACGACTACACGAACGTTTGTGGACACTTAAACTCAATGGTGCTTTTTCGGGAAACCCTTTACGAGTAAAGTCGTCAGACTTATCGACTCGTACGTGTGCGTTTATATTAACATTTATATCGGAATCAACCATTACTTTGTGACTCCTTTATAATTGAAACTCGTATACATATTTGTGTATTAAAATCACACATAAAACTTGCTTTGGTTTGTTCGTATTCGATTAGAGCAGAAAAGGGATCCATTTACGATTCGTCCCTGAAAATGTCGCGCATCGAAGAATAAGACGCAACAATTCCATAAACCATTCGAGGCAATAACGGCCTCGTAATTCCTCCCTTGCAGTTCCTTTCGAAGCGCCGTTTTCCTCTGTACATATATTTGGGTTCGTCGACCATGCGGCCGGAGTCCCTCTAAATTCGACCAACGAGATCCCCAGGCGTTCCTCTTCGACCACTTCCAGGATCGAGACGAGGAAAAAAGTGCTCCAGATTTAACAACCTAGCTGTATTTCAACGAAAACGTTGTAAAATACTCGGAAAAATGGTGCTCGTTTTGTGGAAAAAAGGAACTCTTGGGGAAAAAGATCGATCCCGTTTTTGGCAATCGGATGGGCCCAATAAAAGTCGGTAAGTCTGCTGGCCCCATCGCCATGAATTATGGCTCCGAATGGTACCGTTGCTCCAGTTTCGGTTTGAGGTCGAAATTACACGAAATTAGGTTCAACACCTCGTTAGACTACCAGGTAGATGCCTAGGGAACAGATCTCCTCTTGGTCAAATCTACTTTTCTACCGAAAGTAGTCGAGCCCTGAATTAAGAGCCTGGTTCAGCACGCTGAAAATGAGGCATTTACGAATTTTTTAAGAGTGATGCGTTGGACGGATCTTTGTGAAAGTTACAGGCTCTTTTGTTATCACTAGATATACAAACAAAAGACCCTGAAAGTTTCATAGATTCCCTTAATAATAAAAATATATAAATTTCCCCGAGCAGCCAATAACCGAGAAATATTAAATTTCATCCGGATCCAATTCCAGGTTTGATGACGCGATAAGAAATTAAAAGGCGAATTATGAGGCCGGAGTGCGTAGCGTTCGTGAATATTCATTTAGAAAAATATGAAATTTCATCGTTTCTCGCGACACCGTGACAGTTGTATCGGTTTGGTGAATTAAAGCCGAATCAAAACGTGCTTCTGGGTGTTCGCATGGCGGGCCGAGAGAGACTCGTTAAAGATTAACCTTAAGCACGAATTTCGGTGTCGTCGTAAACGTCGAACAGTCCTGGTCGTGAAAAAATTATTAGCAATCTCTGATCCAATTTTGAGCACGGCGCTGTTTCGCAGAGATTGCCACTCCATATACCTGGGATACACGTTGGAATTTTCGTCGATGATTTATTGGTCGCGCACGGTCACGCTCGCAGTCGTGACTGAGCAAGACAAAAGTCACGGGAAACCGAGGCGTAGACTGGATAATAGAGTTTAATCTAATTTCTCGCGACAATGCTTGGCATACCTGTGTGTAATATTCATACCTGTACGAACAATACGCCAATAAACAATATGGATTCAGGGGACATTGTAAAAAAAGAAGCGTTCCTTGATACATTCCATCCAGGCAGCCGTCGTAAATTTTAATTACTTTTTGGGTGGAAGCCACGTGATCGAAAGGCCACGACGTATTGTTCGAAGGGGCGAGTAGAACGTGGAAAATGAGAAACCACCGCGAATTGTTTCGTGGACGAATACCTGGATAATAATTGAATACTTAAATTCTCTTCTCGAATCAATTAAAATAAAATAAAACAGATGGAATTGAAAATTTCCAAGTTGGACGCGTGGAAAATTTATAAAGTCCACGAATTTCGGAATTATCACCTTCCGGTTATCTCCGTAAACCTCCTGCAAGTCGGAAAGTAAGCGTAGGACGATCGTCTGGCCCGTTTGCATGTTTTTCGGGGGTAGGAAGAAAGAGAGAAATAAAAAGAAGGCGGGCGACTCTGCGATGTTTACAATCGCAGGGTCGTTTAAAATGGAGCAAAGTTTTTACGAGGACTGTCGGCCTTTAAGAAAACTCCGTAGCTGTGGTGGAAGCCGAGTTCCTTCCTTTTTATGGCGTTATTGCGAGTCAGAGTTTTCGCACAAAAATATTCCCATCTTTTGGCCGTCTTTGTCGCGATAGTCGCGACCATCTTTGGTTTACCACTGCAACTTGCGTTGGAGAACATATTGAATTATTTATTTACTTGACAGCATACGTGATTGCAACCGAGATTGAGACGCGATGTTCTCGAAGTGACCGACTGTAAGGAAAATACGTGGTTTAAGTTACGGTGTCGATATCGATAGCGTTTCGATTTTTCTTTTGTTGCTAGATGGAACAGGATTGCCATGGTTGAGGGATAATTATGTTTACGCTGACTGTCGAGTATAATCGCTTAATAATCGCCGACGTTAAGAGGATTTTCTCGTAGCTGGGCGGTCTCGGCGATCCAGCAAGTAAATCTGATGATTTATCTACGATGCCACGCTTCCTGGGTTACCACGATACCTTCACGTATGTAAATAGATAAATAGATAAAATAAAAGCGAAGATTTTATTTTTTATAAGAAATTCGCTGAACTCAATTTCAAAAAAAGTTGAAGCTTAAACACGATTCGAGTTCTCCATACTACCTCCATATCAGCCTCCATCCCCTAAGTTTACTCCGATCTTTCATTGAATTTTACGAATGACCAAATACCTGTAGCCGAACCGTCGTTACATTCGTTCTTATTTCAATTTGTAAACCCTATTAGGGTTTAAGCCCGCCTTACCCCAAGCTGTATTAAATAAGCCACCCCGTGTTTGGATATTATTACAGCTAACTCGAGACAATCACAGGTCAGGCACGCTTGGTCTATTGTGTCCAGTTTAGCAACAATTTTATTTCGTTATTTACTCGAGCGATGTTTAATTATTCGACTCCAAGAGTCAGGATGAAGAGATGGATTCCTCTGGTCCATGGTCGCGTCACGAAGGACTCGATTTAAAAAACAGAAGTTGATCAGGGGTGAGAGTCTCAGGTAGGGCTCTCGCGGAGGGATGGATATCCGAATTTCCACGAGGAAATAACGACGGATAATTTCCGCAAGCTCGATGCATAAGTTAATGCTGTTGGCGCATCTCGTAACGTTGCATCTCTGAGAGGATGAAAACGGTGCGGTTGGTGGGGGATCTGCGAGGGAGAAAATAGGCAGTGCCAGAGGGTTTCCAGAGCCAATGGGAAGCCGTGTCCCGAGGTGTCGGCCAATCCTCGACCGAGACGAAACGATGGTCGCTCGGCAGATGGGCAAGGTTCTATAAATTCTAGGTAGTCCGTTTCATCGTTTCAGTCGCACGTTTGCGCTTCTCGTTGGAATCTTCGTCGCTGGCGGCTCATTTCCACAAGTCGAGAGTTCGCGGTGAAAGCTAGTTTTCTCGTGCCTGTGAGCGTGGCTGCATCGAAGAGATACGTCCTTGTTTAGTGAACGGAACGATTTAGGGGTGCCAGTGAATCAGTGAACCTGGGGGAGCTGCACCGAGTGAACGTTACGAGGCAACGAGAGGAAGTGGCCAGGATGCAGGGCTTCCAGAGGAACTTTGACGATCAGCAGAGAGATCAGAGGGAGGAAGAGACGATAGTAGTGGACCTCGTGCCACCCCAGTATCAGCTTAGCCCGCCGCACAGCCCCCCGGCGGGAAACATGCCCAAGACGCCGGAAAAAGGTAAACTTGCTAAAAGACTCTTGCTAATTTTCGAATCTGTAGTAATAACGACGATGATACACGATCTAATCGTGTTGACAATTCGCCACTGAATCGGAAATTAGACGTGTTTACCAACAGGTAAGCTACACGAGATCGTGTTGCTATTAAATCGAACCCTCGAGCAGTCAGATGCAAGCTACAATTGTAACTGAATACAAGAATTAAAGTAACTCGAGTAAATCAAAGGGTGTATTAAATTTGGAATTGTATCGCAGTAGTAAAGGAGGAGTCGAAACATCGTTGCTTCATTTCGTCTCAAGTCTCATTGTTTGTGTTTTCTTTTCTGCTACAAAGTGGCAGCTATTTATTCGTTTCATTTTCTTTACGAACAAGTTGCTTTTACATACTCGATTTACTCAAGAAAATCTTGTTCGTGCCGTATCATGGGTTTTACTAGAAAGAAAAAATTGTACTCGTTAGCGCGATTAGCTACGCGATTTTAAATGTAAATTTCATTATCGCGAGTGCAAATTCCTAGGATGTCTGAAAGCCAGGAGTCGAATTGTAAATAATGATTGCGTTTGGAAAATATTGGGGCCTATTAACTCGACAAATTCTGTTTGAACGCTCTTTCCTGGCAATTTGCAAGTCTTCAGAAACAGTACAGCCTTCGTTTTAAACGGTTTTCAATGCAATTTGCAATTCCACAGTTTAATTAATATTAAACTATCCACTATAAAAGACTAAAGAAGAGCTTCAAAAACACGCGCAATTTCTTGTATAACATCCACGCAATTGCATCGAAAATTCGAGGGATAATTACTCGAACAGTTAATCCAATTGATTGTTCTTGGGGCACCGAATTTAGGGGCACTTTCTCGGACAGACCCCCGAACGGAGTACAAGTTATTGAGGCAACACGAAACGACCAGAAAGTAAATAAGTCTGACGAGAATCGACCAATCCCTTCGTGGTAAAGCGGCCTCGCAGTTTATTGCAGTAATTATTTTATGGTTGCTCCATGATTCCTAAGGGCTCGTTCTCGAAGATTTATTTATTGCGGGAGGGCTCCGAAAATCGACAATCGAAAATACGCTTGATCGATATACCCCTTGCCTTTGTCCCAAATTAACGGTATTTTAGCCGTGCATTGTCCGAAATTAAACGTTATATGCTCTTTTGCCATTTTTAACAGCCCTGTAAATTTTGTTTATTACGTCGACGTTATTCGAGCAAATTCGAATTTCTGCTAATTATATTACATTAAATATATTCGCGTAAAATCACCTCGGTTTAGGTACCAAGGGGATTCTAACCAGTCTTTGTTCGTTACTTGGAGAGTTTACGTCCGCGAAACCAGAGAAAATCATACGAGAAAGGAGAAAACATCCGAAAGAAGTCCAGGTGAGGTCCAGGCGACCCACCCGGAGGTCCTTTCAGTCTCTTTCCGGTTTTTCTTCTCGTTTACACGATCCCAAACGCGATCACCCGCTGCTTCTGGGGGGCGACAACGTTGTAACTTCCTTACGGAAACAAGAGAGAAGCCGCCGGACTCGGAAGCAGTTTGTCCAGACAAATTATGGCTGTCTATCGAGGAGACGATTAGGTTACTCGCATTTTCGCGCGAAGACTTCGTAGACGGGACTTACGTTACTTACGTTACAGACTTTCGTATTAAATCGACGTGTACGTTGCATTTTCGGGATTCAGAATCGTAGTAAAAGGATAATGTCGCTAAACGTAACGACACCAACTGTAAGCAAAAAAAAAAAAAATTACCCAAGCATACCAGTGTCGTTACTATACTTGTATTTGTTTTGATGAGAGAGACAGAGCAACTACAGGAATGGGAATAATAATCTACCTTCGTTTACTCGCACAAATCGAACAATAAAATTGAATATTTAAAATTAACGAAGTATCTCTTTGATTTGCAGAGACCTCGCCGTCGCATCAGCAGCAGCCTTTGTCCTCCATGGACCCCAATATCAGAAGATATCGAACGGCGTTCACGAGAGAACAGCTCTCTCGATTGGAGAAAGAATTCCACCGAGAGAACTATGTGAGCAGACCAAGAAGACAACAATTGGCCGATTTGCTGCACCTGCCCGAGTCCACGATCAAGGTGCGTAGAAATTGTTGATCGGTGCGAGGAGCCCGTTCCAGATTGACTTCACGTCGTTTTTCAATATTTCCAAAGATTCCTAGTAGTTTAATCACCCAGGCTAGCCAATTAGAATTTCGTTTCATCCTCTCCGCGACGGGATATTTGTCGAGGATAGGCAAACACGTCACGGTAAAGTTCAGTAAACAGTGACCTCATCGTCCGACCCGCGTAGAAAAGTGTTCTATTAACACCTCGGTCTGTTTAATTAATGGCGGTAATCGACCGTCACGGAGGAACAGTAAATAACTCGAACACCTTGAACACTTCTCGTTGCGCAATTTTCGTGAGGGACGCGCGGATATCTTGCGAAAGAAATTAGCGTTCGATTTCACGTTCATCAAACCTTTAACGATCTTATTCTAGCTAGCTGAAATTCTTCGTTCTTTATAATAGTTTGCAAACCGTCGCGATGAAGGGTCGAGGGGAGTCGCAAAAATGGCTCACTCGAGGCGCGAGATGCTCGATCAAGGCAATTAGAAGTTTTTAGCTGCGCAGGATGAACCGAGAGCGTCGGAGGTTTTTTGCTCCATCCGCCATACTTGATGGGCGATCATAGCTCGCCAGAGAGAGAGAGAGAGAGAGAGAGAGAGGGAGGAGAGTCTTTCAGTGCCCGTGATTCTTTTCCTTCCTTCTCGAGCGAGCAAATAGTCAATCACGAAAGGCAAACACGAGCTTCTCGGTCTTTGCTTCGCCACAATCCCCTTGATCCTTTTTCCGTGATTTCTTAATATCTCTCGAACCGGTCCGAGGTGTTAATAACTTTAATTAGCGGTTTTCCCGGGCCACCTTTGACTTTAATGGTTCCCTTAATTTCTCATCTCGCACGGCCCCAGCTTCACGGTAGCTATAAAACGCTTACCGATGGAAATGATCGAGGTGTTAAACGACGGAAACGTTAGGCTTACTTCGAACTCTACTTCTTTCCTAACTCTTCGGAAGATCGCTTTGGAATGGTGGATTTGGATAAATCGTTATGAAAATTCATGAGCTGGTACATGTGATGCTCCTTGCCAAGGATATTCATCCTTTGGATAGAGCATCCTTCTAGGTTTCCAATAAATCCCCAAACATCATAGAGAAAAATAGATTTTTAGATTCTCACTCGTCTACAACTCTAACCAGACCGATTTCTTTCAAATTGCAGGTCTGGTTCCAAAACCGTCGCATGAAGGACAAACGGCAGCGAATGGCGATGGCGTGGCCGTACGCCATGTACACGGATCCAACCCTGGCAGCAACCCTGCTGGCCGCAGCGACGGCCACGCTGCCACCACCGCCTTATCACGGTGCCCCAGGATTACCACCCGCGCACCTGGCGCCATCGAGTTATCCAGCAGCCGCTGCTGCAGCGTACTACGCGGCCAGGTACACGCCGTACCAAACAGGGGTGCCCAACAGCCAGTCTTCCCTTCACCGGCCTCATCCGCGCACAGCGGCCCCTTATCCGGCTCACCCTCATCTCTTGCAGCCTCACCATTCACTGCCTCCCCTTCACTTGTCAGGCCTGGGCGTTCCCACTGTTGGCAACACCGCCTTTCAGGTGAACAACCCACCCACCACAGTTGGAGCCACCTACAGACCGACCTTGCTGCCCGATCTGAGCCCAGTGCCCTCGGACGCGTCGAGCGACTGCGACTGCGTCGGAACGCAACCCCATCACCACCACAACGGCCAGCAGATGCACGACAAGACCACCCCTCCGCCCGAAAGCCAGCATCCCGCTCAGATCAAGATGCCATCGGGGATGGTCGGTCTGCCAACCACCATTCAAGCCATCGGGGCTTTCGAGAGCAAGCACGCGTACACCAGCATCGTCACGACGCCCAGCGTGGTCCAGGCGACCAAGATGGACCCCCCGAAGCTCTTCCAGCCGTACAAGAACGACATCACCGAGAGAGCGTAAGAGTAGTAGGCCAGGTTTCTCGCGGGAGCGATGATTTGAACGCTTGGAATCGGGTGAATCCGAAGGGAGGTACCGTCGAGGAGGTTTGGGTTCGAGAGCAGTGATTCTTGAACTTCTTAGGATGAGAGCGTGTTCTGCAGAGGAAGGAAAGCTCGAAGGTTGGACACCGTGTTTCTTGTAGAAGGGATCTCTGTAGATATCACCTACTTTTTACACTTGGTTGCACTTTTTACCATTGGACATAGCCGCAGTTTTATCATTCGATCGCTGCATAGCGAATTTTATTTTACCCTTCGAAGACGAAATTGTATTTTATCTTTTGTACGTATGAACTTATATTGATCGATCATCGTGACGAGCTAGTAGCTGGCCCAGCAAGGGCATTCGTCTTTTACCAGTAGGTGTTGATCCTCTGCAACAATTCAAGAAGAGGTCCGACTTTAATGGATCCTTATGAGTCGCGAAAAATTCCAGTAGAGACGTCGAAAATGTTAAGGAATGGATATCCAACGTTTAGAGTCACAGTTTCGGATCGCTCGTCGGATGTACATATCGTAGTTGGATGTAAATTGTTTGTATCTTCTCTATCGTTTTAGGTCTATGTGTAAATAGCAGACGTGGAGACGTCACGATTCGCGTTCGACTTCTGCCGATTAGAATAGAATTAAAAGAATCGTGTCCGTGTATACAGACGTGTATATAGTCCCTTGTAATATATTTGTTTTAAACCGTGAATAGGTGTCGAACGATAAACGATGTCAGCGGAGTGTAAATACGTCGATCGGTTGTAAACAACCATGTACCTGTTAATAACGATAATGAAATCGCAGTGCGACGTTTGTATAGGAGAACACAACGATGCTTGAGTGTGATTAGATAGATAGTTACCGTGTAGCGATGTACAGTAATCGAGTCTTAAGTAATATATTGTAGTCATTATCTACGAATTTGTAGAGCCACGATCAAACGTTTCGATTAGACTGTCGATATTTATGCTTCAGTACCTATGTGTCTACCTAAAGAGGTGCGATCAAATATATGGAAAAAAAAAGATAAAGAATAATTATTACATATGAACCATAAATGCGTTGTTACGATTATTCGAAACCCGTTCCATTCTATGTGTCTTCTTTCATTTAATTTCCTGTAGAAAGAAATTATCGATATTTCCTTTCCACTTGAGTTTTATTGAAAATGTTGTACAATACCATTCCTAAAAGTACCTTATTTCTCATTTGCATAGTGTGGATAGATTTTTAACAGTTCTCTCGAGATTGGACATCCATCAATCCAAGTTTTATTCCGTCTCGAATCAATCATCGTTATTATATCTCCCTTTCCCTCGACGTACGTAATAACTTCGGCGCTTTCCCCCATTTTCGTTCGTCCACACGTATATACATATTATAGAACTCGCAAGAAGAAAATTAGTAAATCTCTTATCGTGAATTATTAATGACTATAAATTATGATTAGTATAACGCAAAGCCTCCTGGCTAAACTTGAATGAAAACGAAGGAACTTTTCGCACGATTAGAAGCTGACAAAGTTTCAAAATTAAATACAGGACAAAGGGTGGGCGAAGAGAGAAAAGAAATGGCTGATCGCGAGGAGGGTGGCTTTTGTAAGATAATCGCGAGAGCACACGAGGTTGACATGGTTCACATGTTGAGTGGATATAAATAGCTGGAACTACGAATCGGGGAGATTTACTGGCTGCAATTAATTCTTCCAGCGATTTCGTCGGAGAAACGAGATAATTCCGTATGAACGCTACAGGCTTAACGATTCATTGCGGTTCAACGATGAATCCACTGCCACCCACGTTCCCCCATCGTCTCCCTTTATTCGTCACGAATTGTTCCCATTGTGTGAAACCGCCTGGGGGTGGGCAAATGTGTCCTCGAAGAGGCAAACGGTGATTCCTGAACACAAGACTCGGGATAAATAGCTTGGAAATCTGAGTGTAAAAGTAAATAAAAATAAATTTTCAAGTTGTCACTTGTAAAAGAATACCGGACTTGCATTCGATGTTTTGCAGTTTAGAGAAGACTATTTCGAACCAATTCAGCTGTCTAGTCCACTTAAGGTAGAACGCTTCGTGTTCACTTTGGAACATGTCGAAGCAACGTGACCGACGTTTACAACTAATCCTGGCTCAGGATTCTACGTACAGCGAGGATCACTTCCTGATCCGACCTTTCCCTATCACCTTCCACAGCTCGCAAAGTTAACGAAATGGATGAACGGTGATAGTCCATGGAAAAGAAATAGAATTCATTAATCAAAATATGAATAAAATGACTCGGACTATGAATGCATTATCATATATTGAATCGTGACTTTACTTTATCGTTTCAGTTACGTATTATACGCTCAAGTTACTCCAATGAGTGCTTCACACGTCGACGCTACCTTTGGCAGACCAGAACTGTTTCCAACTGAACGCAAAATTCGCTAGCAGTTGCAATGACACGCCAAAAATACCTGCCCACTCGTAAAATCATAAAATCTCCGAGTAGGCTAGGAGAAAAAAAACTGGCCGCGCTGATCTACCGTCATAAATATAAAACGAGCCGTTTTGTTGGTGGCTCGTAAAAAAATCATCGAAAAAATTTCGGAAAAATGCTATCAGCCGAGTCGAGGCACGAAGGTTCGTCAAGGAATTATAAAATATTTAAGCGTTATATTTTCCGCGCGAGAATCCATCCTCGTAAAGCGTTTAGCTTTATTCCAACGGTCAAATAGTCACAGGGGTAGTTGGCGAGTCGTTTTTTTTCCACCCTCCACCTTTCTTTCTCCAAACCGTGGATGGGGCAATAATACTTCGACTGGTTCGTTTTTAAACGTAGAACATCATTTCGATCTGCATTGTTTCTTTTGAGAAACATTCAGGTAGATGAATATCAATTATGCGCCTATTTAATCAGGCGACTTGTAGCGGAGATCTATCTAGGAAATATAAGAAATTGAGTCCAAGCTTGATTCGAATACGTTTTATCTTCCCATATAAAAGTTGTCGAAACGTCTTGCACACGGTGGCTCCCATAAATAAAGCGTTATTACCATCGAAAGCAGGAGACTACCCTACGCTGATTATCTTGACGCAAGGAGGCTGCTGGCAATCTACCCCTGCGAACAATACTGCAAATAGATTGTTAGGAAGAAGTCGTCTAAACGGCGCTTAATGGCACGTCAGATAAGATAATGCAATTCCACGATCGACTGTGATTCCTCCGAAGGTGACCATCGTCTAACCAGGAGGGGTGACGACCCGCTCAACCAAGGGATCCCTCGACGTAATTTCAAAGGACGAGCTCGTATATTGGGGGATGATTCTCTGTATCGATGGCATAAATTGGATATTAATATTTGATGAACTAGCCCGGCCCGTAGCTTCGTTGAATAGCAGAGAAAGAAAATGATCGATGTCGCGATAGCGACTGATCTTTATTCGCGAACTCTGGATACCGTTCCCGAGAATTTATTTACTTGGGAGTACGCTCGCGTAAGAGTTAGTTAGTGGTGTCTACAAGATATTCTTTTCGAAGAGATTGCTATCTACTTTTAGTTAAATCTATAATTTATACATAATGACAGGTACTATATACTTTGCGTTTGCATCCTGAAGTGGTCAACGCGAGATGCGATCGTCAGGAAAAGCGCCCAGGGACTTTTCTTGTCATCGACGTTCGTAAGTGGGCTCGATGGGTTTTGTTGCGACCGCAGGAAGCGCTTCACGGCAGGATCCCCCCTTTTTTTTTGTCCGCGGGAAAAGAAAGAGCGGAATTTCTGAGACGAGTTTAAACCGTGATCGAGTTTGTCTCGCAGGCGTAAAGAAATGTTGACAGCTTTTGGTCACGTCTCCATAGACCGCCCGTAGTTGCGAACTACGAAGTTACGTGTCCGCGCGAGCTGCAACCGAAACACGGGAACCCCCGACCGAACGTATCCCTTGCGAATCGAATTTCGATTTTCACGTCGAACGGAGAATGTTCCGAGTCTGTTTGAAACATTGCGGGGACACGTTTGTTTGCCGAGCGGGAGTGAAAGGTTCTCGAGCAAAGATTCGACATTTTTGAAACATTGTACAGATACAGACGGATGAGAAAATCGCTGAAAACTTTTAGTAACGACGAGGTAAATCAACTTTTGTACGATCAACGAAACAGACAAACATTGACTGCGTCGATACTTGGGTGATAGGCCCATCATCCCGTCTTACCGTACTTGCTCCCCGCATTTTTTATTCGAGAAAGAATTTTTAATCGAATAACAGGTCCTTCTTTGGACGTTTCAAGTCCAGATACATAGCAGGCTGAAAAATGGAAGCGTTCTGCGCAAAACGGAGTGATCGATTCGAAGCGTTGAAACTCGTTCGACTCGGGGCGAACTTTTGAAAAATGTTTCTGGGCGGTGCGTAGCGAAGGGACATTAGGCACAATATTTGGGTGAAGGCGAACCTGTGGCTAATTGAAAAGTCAAAACTGTTAAAAGGAGCTCCCTGTTAGCCGTGAAAGCGTGGAGGCGTAGCACCCCACGGGACGTCCTGTGGCGTCTCTCGCACCAAAGGGGGATGTTTAGCTCCCCGGCTGTGATTGAACCATGACGAGGCGTCTACCTTTCCCAAAGACGACTTCTAGAAGTCCTAGACGAGGCGACAGGCTTTACCTGTTCGTCGCAACGTTTACGAAGTCGAGTAAAAAACGGGAGAAATAAATGCAAACCTCGATTAATTCATTCACGGAACTTGTACGCGTTATTTCTAGCCTCTCTGCAAACTTAAAAACGTTAATCGAAGACAAAATGGAAAGTGGGAGATTTATCTCTGGACTGAGATTCTGTTGTTCGTCTGTATATGTACATATATCAAAATATGGATATACATAAACATCAGTAGTCTACCAGTGTTCCTCGTAAGAGCCACATTAAATTCTGTTAGCCAACAGAAGCCATCGGGGTGCGCTATACAGCTCTAGCAACCCTAAACGCAGCAAATCCCACGATTTCTTCTGCAGCGAAAAAAAAAAACGGGGCATCTTTACGAGCCCCACGAAGCGTCCAGTTAACGTTTGTTCGAAGAAGTTAACCCTTTTCCTCGTGAAATTTTTTTTCCGGTAGCTTCCTTCCTCCGTTTTTGCGGAGGGCCCAAGTTTTTGCCCTGGTTTTTCTACCGGTTTTTTCTAACAGGGCTGCAGCGATGCAGTTTTTTGACCCAGAAAAAAAAGTACCGCTGCGGGTCGCAAAGATTTCCACCGCGAACACGATCGTTCGCTTGTCCGCACCCTCGTGTCAAACTCGCTTCGTTTTCGAAGCATTTTCAGCGTTCATTTTCCGTCTTCTTTCGCGTAAAAACTTTGGCGCGTAAACAGCTAGCTTTTTGCGACAATGTTTATCCTTGGAATCATCGGCGTCAATCATAGGCGGTGCCGTTGGGTTGAAAAAGCGACTCTTCGACCGTGACTTAACTCTGACACTACACAAACTCGTTAAATATACATAGAGAAATTACTAAAAATTGTCAACATTGCAGAGAGAATACTGAATACAGCCAAGTACATCCTTCTACCTAAAAATCATATTAATACCACGTTGGAAAAAAGAGTCGAACAAGGGTGATCGGTGGAACAGGACCTGCGTCATCCTACGAATCGATTCGACGCGGACGATCCCCGATTTTAATCGACACGTTCGATCTCTTGCGGGGTAATGTTTCCCTCGTAAACGGCAAGCATGCCGAATCCTGATATGGCTGGTGCCAATAAATAACTGGGCCATATTATCCACGACGCGAGTCTCGATACGAACCGTGACCGATCTTTTCGAGGCCTCCGGTACACCTTTGTCCTTTTGTCGATCGATTATCGACGCCATGGAAATCTGTGGGAATTAATTCGAGAAACTAATCGCTGCCATTTTCATATCCTGTGGGAACCTCGTGCCGCTATCTGGCTCGAGTAGTCTCGAACAAAGGCGCGTCGTCGACAACTACACCCTTGCACAAGGAGAATCAGTTTTAACAAATTCTTGCCAGTTCACCCCGCAAAACACAATGGTCATCAGTCCAAGCTTTATTGCAGTAGTTACGAATCAACCGCT